CTGAAAGAGGTATTATATCTGTCATTCTAATTGTACAGTGGAGGAAACAGACTGTGAGACTTTAAGTGATTTGCTTATGGTCGTACAGGATTAGAATCTGGTTCTCTTCTGCCTATAAGTCTATCGTTCTTCCATGCTGCTTCTCATGTACACATAGAAATATCAGACCTGTAGACAAGGCAAAATGTGATGAGAACAAAAGAGTGTGTTCACTTCTAGCTGGGTGGATCAGAGAAGGCTTAATGGAATAAGGGGCACTAGAGCTGATGAGTTGAAATGATGAGTGAGGATTTTCTATGCTTGGAAGAAGTCTTTGCATGTGTGTCAAGGCAGGGAAGAACTCGATTTGAGGAAACAAGCACTTGTCCTGTATTGTTTTCTTACAAACAGGCTGTATCACTGGGGGCATGAAAGGCCCTAAAGGCAAGACTAAGGGGATTATATTTTATTCTATTGTCAGTAGAAAACCAGTGATGGGTTTAAAGATGGTGACTAACCTATTACTTAAGAAGATAATTTTGTCAGTTGTGTAAAGAATAAATCTCAACAGGGGTCTTTAACTTGGGGCCTGTGAAGTCATTTAAAAAAAATTTTGATAATTTTATTTTAATATAATTGGTTTTCTTTGTAAATTTATTAATTTTATTTAATGCCTTACAAACATTCTCAGGAATCCATAGGTTTCACCAGACTTCCAAAGGGATCCATGACATAGAAAAAATGAAAAAATTCTGGATAAGAGATGGGAGAGACTGGAAGCAAGGAAATCAGTTAGGGGGCTCTTAAAACAATCCAATTCAATTTCTTTCAATTTGGCCAATAAACATCAAAGCAAAGAAGCTGAGAGCCTGAATTAAGTTAGTATCTTTGTGAATGGAGACTGACAGATTCAAGCAATATTGTAGATTTGGAAGGACTTAGTAACCATCTGGCATTGGCAAGGGAGAGACAAAGAGAGAAAGGTCCAAAATGACTCTAATTTTACAGGCTGGGTGATAGAGATAAATTGGCAGAGGGGCAGATTAGGAGGGAAGGTAACAATGAGGGAAAACATTTCATGTTTTCCAATCTTACTATTTATTCACTTGCATTTGTTCTTTTGCATAAGTCATCCTCCATGTCCAACTTGTTCTTCTTTCCAACTCCCCATGTTGATTTCTGGTACCATTTTCTCAGTCACCTAGTAACCGAGACAAGGAAACTGAGAATTATTTTTTTTTACATATCCCTCTCCCCTCCCCCCATTCATATTTAATCAATGGTCAAATACTTTCAGCATTTCCTCTAAAATATCCTTTGAGTCTATTTCCTACCATAGTTCACAGAGCTTCTAAAGCAATCTTCCTAAAGCTCTCATTAGATTTTATCACTGCATTACTTAATACACTTTAGAGTCTTCCCTTTACATCTAGGATAAAATATAAGTTTATTTGTTTAGCATTTAAAGCTCTTCACAACAATAATAGTTAACATTTGTAATATGCTGCTTTAAGTTTTGCAAAGCACCATATGTTCTTTGTTGTCTTATTTGATCTTCACAACAATCCCATGAGATAGGTTATCCTTATTTTGAGGTGAGTCAACTGAGGCTGAGAGAAATTAAGTGACTTGCCCAGGGTAAAACAGCTAGTAAGTGTCTGAGAAAGTGTTTGAACTCAGGATTTTTTGACTCCATGTCAGGATTTCATTCATTCATTCATTCATTATGTACCTATTTATTTATTTTACAGGTAAAGGCATCTCATTCACACCCTGAGTTATGCTTGTAACTGTATTTTCCCTTAATCATATCCTCTTATAAATTTTCCTCTCTTTGCCACCGTTCCTACCCTTTTTCCTCTTCAAAAAGAAAAAAGTGGCAGAGAAGAAAAAGGGGTCGGATAAATGTGAATAATTTTAAATGAAAGCAGTCTGATCTGCTCCTGTGCCCTTCCTCTCTTCATAGTATACATTTAGATCCCTGGTTCTTATCATCTCTTTGTTTCTCATCTCCCCTTTATAAGCTGTTCTCTGTAGCTAAAGTTTTTTTTTCTTGATTATTCACTCCTAAGCTCTAACCTCCCTCTTAATTCTCACTCTAACCTCTTTCCTTTTCCCTCCTACTTATATACCAAATTTTCTCTGTGTGTGTGTGTGAGAGAGAGAGAGAGAGAGAGAAAGAGAGAGAGAGAGAGAGAGAGAGAGTGTTAGAGTTCAATCTTCCTTTGCCTGGTTCAGATAAAAGTGAGATTATAGAGATGTCTCTCTCTTCCATACTTTGCCTCTATATTAGTATACTCTTTTTCTACCCACTATAATTTCGGACAATTCCTAAGTTCCTCTTTCTATTTTTCTCTTGTGTTTTTTTTTCTCCTTTTTCTTCTCATAAAAGCAACAAAACACAAAACAATCAACTGTGCCTTTCTTCACTCCCTCATTGAACATTTAAGACAGCAGCATTCTATAGGGACCTTTCACCCTTCTCCTCTATTAAATGTTAAGCAATTAATCATGATTCGCACCTTTAAAATTTCTCAATATATCATGCTGTAGAGGCTGCATAGCTGACTCTAGAGACAGGAAAACTTGCCTTCAGACCTGCTTTGGATGTACATGAACTGTGTGACTCTGTCCAAATTGCAATGTCTCAATTGTCCAGTTATTTCTGTAATACTATATATTTCAAAGAGGATGCTAGTTTGCATGGGGAGAGGAAATTGGCAGCCAAGAGATAATAAAAGCACAAGGCTAGGAAGAAAGCATCTATATTTATTTTTATATATTATATTTTTATATATTTTATATATTATATTTTTGTTTATATAAATATATCTATATTTATGTTTTTATATATTATAATTTTATATATTATATTTTTATATTTACAACTGAATTTATGTATATATACATCTATCTTTATTATGTATCTCTATATAACTGTCATTTCTAACTTTATCTCCAACATTATAACCATCATCTCTCCATCTCTGTCTCTGTCTCTGTCTCTGTCATCTCTATTAAAGGTCTACTTTTCCCTTGTAGGATTATACAATTTTGCAGAATGTTATCTTTGTTTAGAAAACTTTTCTGTTTGCTTTTTAGCATATCTTATTCCAGTATTTATTTTCCTTTATCATAAATATGGCAAAATTTAGTGTGACCTTGACTGTGGTTTCTTGATATTTGATTCCTTTGTATACTTTTTTCTTCTGCAGTAACTTTTTTTTGTTCTAGATTCTGGCTTTATTCTGGCTATTTCAGTTTGGATTTCTTTTGAGAGTTATCTGATAAATTCTTTCTATTTCCATTTTTGTCTCTGGTTCTAATAATTCTGGGATAGATTATATATGTAATTATAATTATATCATATATATTATATAATTATATTATATATAAATAATATAATTGTTTCGGAACTATTGTGAACTGGTAATTTGTTTCTTCATGTTTTTTTTTCCAGATAATCTGATCATTCTTAAATGACTTTTCCTTTTCCTTTTCTCCATGTCCAGCATTTTTATAGTAGATCAATTTCATAATTTTTCCATATTTTGATTTTATCCTAATATATTTTTCTTTTTTCTCTGTTTAATTATTGAGTTGTTTGCTTCACTATATTTTTCAGGGTAAATATTACTTGGTCATATTTTTGATCTTCTGTTCTAAGCTAAACATTTTTTATGGTGTTTTCCTCAATAATTCTAATTTCATTTTATTTTTTGATTAATTTCTTCTGTGCACTCTTAGAGTCCTTATGGAAAAGTCATTTTCCTAGGGTCTAATTGTACTTAATATTGAGTTATTCTCTTCTTCTGTATTTACTTATTGGACTTCTAATGCATGATATTTCTTCATTGTGTCAGAAGCCTTTTTCTGCTTGCTCATGTCTCCAGTCTCAGTCTCTGGATTGGAATTTTTATGCTAGGGCCATGTTCTACCCTCTCTTATTCCTTCCAAGAGGAAGAGATGACTAGACCCTGCTACTAACATACTTAATAATATACATAACTGATCTCATTACTTTCATTATCTTCCATGGCTGAACTACATACAGCAGACAAAATAGTCTTCCTAATAAATAGGACTGACCCAAATCACTACCCAGAGGAAGGACAAGCATTTATAGCATACTATGTGCCAGCAGTCTTGCTAGGTGCTGTGAATATAAGGCAAAAGCCAACAGGTATTGATGATAAGTATGTCTATAAGGTATACGGAGTAAATATAAAATAGGAAATATTATTGGTTATCTAATTCTATGTTATTTGGTTAACTAATTCTATATAATGATTAAATTAATAATAACATGAAGAATACATGGTAGCTAAGGGTTTACATCCTAAATACTGACTTATAGAAAAGTCATTCCTGGACTTTTAATAACATGAGGACCTTTTCTTAATATCCAACAACTATTCATTTAATGCCTTACAAACAGAGGCCAAAGTGTCTGTGGCCCACACATGAGAATCATTGGTCAAGAAGTCTGTCTATCTAGGTGCACTAATTTGAACATTTTTATAGAAAACTGTTCTGTTCTACACCTTTAATTGAAAAAGCAGTTAATAGCTTATGGGTAGTCATTAAGAAGAAAGGGTTATAGATCTACAAATGGAAGCACACTTGAAAGTCATCTCATGCTACCTCCTCATGTCTAATGGCAAGAAAACTGAGGTCCAGTTAGTAAATTACTTGTGATTGTTTCACTCTACCAAAATGGTCAAGGCTGTAGGGACACAGTATGTCTTTTCTCCAAAGTGTAAGTTACTCTGATTGTCTATTGATTTTTATACCTAACTTTTTTTTTTAACAGTACATCATCTTAAATATTTCTGGGATTAATTAAGGCCCTGAGATATATTTCAAAGAGTTTTTGATATTAAATATTTTCTGTGTTAAATCAAAATCTACTTTCCACACTTCTCAATAAAATTCAATTATACTCACCTAAAACTGTTTTTTTTTTTTATTTTTCTTTTCAGAAAACTTCTGGAAGCTTGAAATATTTCATGTAGGTGAAGATGAAAAATAACTCTATGCTAAATGAGTTTATTTTGTTAGGACTCGCCAATTCTTGGGAGCTTGAGATTTTCTTTTTTGTGATCTTCTTCCTGGCCTATGCATCAATCATGGTTGGAAACAGTCTCATTATACTGATGGTGACCTTTGATTCCCACTTGCACTACACTCCCATGTATTTCCTTCTGGCCAACCTCTCTTTTCTTGATATGACCCTTTCCACTGTTACTGTCCCTAAGATGATCACAGACTTCTTCAGGGAGAAGAAAACCATCTCATTATGGGGTTGTATGGCCCAGATGTTTTTAGTTCATCTCTTGGGAGGCAGTGAGATGAGTCTACTTGTAGTGATGGCTATAGATCGATATGTTGCAATATGTAAACCCCTCCACTATACAACAATTATGAACCGCCGAATTCTGTTAGGAAGTGTGTTTCTCTCTTGGGTTGTTGGCTTTGTACATACCATGAGCCAAATGGCCTTTGTGGTAAGCCTGTCCTTCTGTGGTCCTAATGTGATTGATGATGTTTTTTGTGACCTTCCTTTGGTGATGCGCCTTGCCTGTACTGATACCTATATCCTGGACCTCCTTGTCATTGCTGACAGTGGACTTCTCTCATTGATCTGCTTCATCCTGTTGCTTGTGTCCTATATTGTCATCTTGGTCACTGTCCACCATCGCTCCTCTGGTGGGCTTTCTAAAGCTATGTCCACACTTTCTGCTCACATCACAGTTGTTACTCTCTTCTTTGGACCAATTATCTTAATCTATGCTTGGCCAGTTAATATCTATGCATTGGACAAATTCCTCTCAGTATTTTTTGCTGTTATCACTCCTCTCCTCAATCCAATTATCTATAGTTTGAGGAATCAGGAGATGAAGGCAGCCATGATTAGACTGAGGAGCAGGCACATTAGTTCTAGGCCCATTCTCGAGATAATGCTCATGATGATGTAAAAGTTTACTACACACTCAGGATAAATTCCTTCTCTGAATGACAATTTGTTATTTTAATTCATTTTTAAATGTTTATTTTTACAAAGAAAAATCAATTATATTTACAAAACCATCTATAATTAATATCCTGGGAATGTGTTTTGGTTGTATAGATGGGTGATTGTATTTATGTATGTGTATGTGTGTATTTATTAAAATAAAATAATTTATTAATTGGACTTAATTTAATTTTAGAATTTTAAATTGTAGCAAAATAGGAAAAAAAAAGATTTATATAGAAGAACTCCTTGACTATCTTTATCTCTAACCTCTCTTATAGCTTAACCTCTGCTTTTGTTTTCTTTTGTTATAATCATAAACACAACTGGCTTTAAGTCTGACCATGAACAGAAAGAAATCAATCAACTGTGGAACCTTTCAGAAGCCCTTATGCTAAGAATGGAGTCTCTCTGGCAATTCTCCCACCATGTCAAAAAGAGTGAGAGATGATGAACAATGCTCATTATATATCAACCCAAGTGATTGTTTAAGACTATATCTCTCTTACTTATATCGTGCAATCTAGAACTGAAAAACACAAGGGTTAGTTATATAGACAGACTTTAAGAGAGCAATGACAAAACAAAGACAAAATTCCCACAATTATAATTATCCACTGATATGAAGCCTACATACACTATTCTGAATGAAACAGAAATTCTGGCTCATTAATAACATTACTTGGAGCAACATTCATGGTATGTTTTATCTATAGTATCTTATGGCAACTAGTTGAACAGGGGGAAATTGAGACAAAGTGATTATTTAGCCTATGTAGACCCAAATTGAACATTAAGAAGAAAAGAAATGTCATGATAGCTCACACTCATGTTACAGTATCAGTGGCATCAAATAATATCTAGGGTAATAATTAGGATGATAATAGTAAAAGCTAGTATTCATATACTGCTCTAAGGTTTGCAAAGTGCTTTACCAATGCTAAATCATTTGAGCCTCATAACAACATTGTGGTTTAGATGCCATTCTTATACAAATTTTACAGATGACCAAAGTGAAGCTGACTGAAGATAAGTGGCCTCCCCCGGGTCACACAGCTAGTAAGCATCTGAGATGAAATTTGAACTCATACCTTCTTGATTCTAGGTCCAACCCTCTATCCACTACATACTTCCATCAGTAACTCCTAACATATTTATCTTCCATTAATTTCAGTGATTTGGATGATGATTTAGCAAAGGAAATGGAGGAGTGGTCAGACAGCTATGAGGATAACCAAGAAAGAGCAGAGTAATGAAAATCTACAAAGGAGAGAATATCCAGGAAGAAGAGGTAGTCAACAATGTCAAATACTTCAAAGAGGTCAAGAAGTATGAAGACTGAGAAATGGCCAGCACATTTAGCAATTAAGAGATCAGTGATAACTGTGGAGAGAGCTGTTTTAGTTGAGTAATGAGATCAGAAGGTAGATTGTGAAACAGTGATAAGTGTGTTAAGGGAGAGGAATATGGATTTTTTTTCCCAAAACTTTGAAGATATGAAGAAGTGAGTTATTGGGCACTTATGTGAGAAGATAATAGAGTTTAGTAAAGATGGTTCTTTTAAGGATGAGAGGCACTTGGGCATGTATTGACCATAAGCAATGACATAGTAGATTAAATACATAGTCCATTTTAAATAGAACAAACGGATATTTCAGGTCAATACAGGACTGCTTGGAATGCTATATATTTAAAAAATTTAGGATTATATCTAACTCACCCTAAATAGTCTTCATGACCTATAGTAGATCTGACAACCATGAATTTGCCTAACACCTCAAGCCTATTTGTAGAGTCACAACCAGTATCATCTTTAGGGGAGGAGAGTGTGGAATGGTAATAAGTTCTATAAGTTTATTATGTGTGGAGTGTTGTATTTTACCTTAAACATTTTTCTTAAAAGTATTGTACTAGCAGTATAGAATTTGGTGGATAAGCCTAGATTAATCTTACCTATATATTTCCTATCTTGAGCATATATCCCTTGGTAGACTAAATGAGTCTTAATTGCTTTCATATGCCCTCTACCAGAAGCCTACTCCCCAGTTCCATATACCTTTAAATTATTTTAATCACCCTACTTTAGTCCTTTCTCAACATGTTATGCCTTAACTGAGGTGGAGAGGTCAAAGCTGCAATGACTGGTCAATTAACCAATTATGTTACATTGGTTATTTAACAGACTGGTTATATAAATAGTTTATGTGGGCTTATGGATAAAGAGAAATCTGAAGACATTCATGCAAATGAGGCATTCCAAGAGCTGATCTCCTCACACAAGTATAATATTAGAATTGCAGTATCAAAGTAACAAATGTAAAGGAGCAGAAGGAAAGAAGTGAAGAGAGATAAGCATCTAGGAATGGAAGGTAGGGTGACACAAACAATGGATCAAAGGAGGGCAAGGACAGGAAAATGACTCTCTGACCTAGTGTATCAGGGGAGTGGTTTGCCTTGTAACCACATGACCAACAGTCATGCACTGCAAGCCATTGCACTCTTCCCTTCCTGAAGCTCATCCCTTTCCCCAGTCCTATAGCCTTACAAAACCTACTCAACCAGACCATCAGATTTTATATTCTTAACTCTTAACCACTGGCTAGGTTAATAAGTGGTAGAGATGGGGCCTAAATTGAAGTCTTCTTTGACCCAAACACCTTGACCTTGATGTCTGGATATTTTCATTGTAATGTTGTTTGTAGATTTCTGAGTTTAAAGCAACCTTACCACTGCCTATTACCCATGGGTGCAAGAAGGCAATGTCAACATTAAGTGTGGACATAGGCATTATACATCAAACCACAAACTTTAAGAAGTTCAAAATGGATAAGCAACCTGAATATTAAGGATAATAATATTAAAATTAAAAAAAATAAGAAGAAAGTCAGATCAAGTAGCTATCATAGCTATGACTACAGAGAAGTACCAACCAAAGAAGGATCATAGATCTTGAGCTGAAATGAATTTCAAAGATCATATAGTTTAACCCTGCTCATTTTGCTATAAAGAAACTGACCATTGTAACTGGTAATAAGTTTCAGATGCAGATTTTGAACATAGGTCCTTTGACTCACTAGCCAATGACCTTTCCACCAAGCTGCCTCTCAGTAGAAGTCAAATTGATTCCCAACTAGACAATCTTGATTACATGAAATTCAAAAAGTCTTTGCACAAATAAAATCAATTTAAAATGATTAAGAAATTAAGCTATTGGTTGGGAAAAATCTTCATACAAAATATTTCTGTTGAGCTTACAAATATATTGCAAAAAGTCATTTCCTAATAGATACAAGTTCAAAGAATATGAGCAATACTCTAAAAAGAAGAATTGTAAGCTGCAAACCATCATATAAAATTGTTCTAAATCTGTAATACTAAGAGAAATGTAAATCAAAACAACTTCAAGATTTCACTCCACGCCCAAAAATTTTAGGGAAGATGTCAAATGATGAAAACAGTTAATAGTCAATTTTGTAGGGTTTGTGGAAAGACAAGAAAGTAGATAGTGTATAGTTATACCCACACACATATACATACACATACATACATAAATATATACTTTATTAAATGTTTACTGTGTGCCAGACACGATTCCATGCTGGAAATACAAATATAAGCATAAAAAAGACTGTTCCTATTCTCAAGGGACTTACATTCAAATGGACAAAAGAGAAAACAAACATAAATGAGAACTGTACAAAGGTGGTGGTGGTGAGAAGACTGGAGCATGAGAAGCAAAACAGGAAGAGAAATGAGCGCAGATTGCCTGGACACTTCCTTGAAGAGCAGTTCTGGGTAGGGACTCAGTAATCAGAGCAGGGGGCCACAAGGGCACAAGTTTATCGTGGGTGAGGAGACTACTAAGATAAAGCAGAAAAGTCCAGAAAGTCAGGAGAAGAGCCTGGAGAACATCTAAACATAATAGTTGGGTTTGTGAATTGCCACAAGTATTCTAGAAAGCATTTTGGAATTATGCTTTAAAAAGTGAGAAAAACTTTTGAAATGCACCAATGTTGTGGCTAGGCATACATTCCAAGGTGATTAATGATAGAAACAAAGGTCCCATACACAAAAATATTTATAGTATTCTTTATGTATTAGCAAAGACCTAGAATTAAAATAGATTTCTATTGATTTGGAATCAGCTACAGAATTTGTGGCATATGAATGTAATGGAATTTACTAATGATAGGTAATTACACTTGTGAAACAAAAAAATTGTTTCAGACATATTATATACAGAAAATTCTATGTTTAAACCAAACCTTTTACTGCCGCAACACTTATGGGAAATGAAAATACCTATGTCAAAAATGAGGACTTGTTTCACTCATCTATAAACATCCCCAGAAACATCAGCCCTCCTCCCACAGACGACAAGTGATTAATGTAGAAACTGATAGCCGTAGTGTGTTAGCTAGATCATTTAAGTGAAAAAAAAAAAAAACATTAGACAATCCAACCAGGTCAAATGGTTTCCTAACTTCCTTGTTTAGGTGGATCTCATCAGTCAAATCATGATAGAACCTGACATTACAAAATTCAGTGAACAGAAATTCCTCTACCTTGCAATATTTTCTTACAAAATGAATTGCTCTACAATCCTGCCTGCACATCTTTGAGACTCCCTAGTTTTGAATCAACACTAAATTCCTAGGCAAAAATTATAGAACATCATCACCCAGGTCTTTCTTAATAGACTGAAAGATCTGATACCCCTTAATAACTCCTTGATAAACACTTAGCTCCACTACCTCCTAATCACAAATGTCTCATCCAAGACTAATAAGATCTCTTTGTCTTTTGGAAAGTGCTCACTAGTAATGATGTTGTTTTTTGTACTAATTCAAAAGGTGTTCTTCTTGCTTAACACATTTTTTATTGCATTTCTATTCACACAATTAGGAAAGAAATCAACAAGAATTGACCATACTGCTTAATAAGCTAAAATAGATTTGTGTT